TATATATATATATATATATATATACACACACACTGTATATATAATTATGATCTTGATATTATGGTTTTATAAAACACTAAATATGACATTTGCGATTGGTTCTGATCCATGTGACGGGCCTCTTTGGGTTTTTTTTTTGGGGTGGGGGGCTAGCCTTGACATCTGCTAGCTAGCTGTATTTTTTTACTTTTAATGTGTGTCATTTCCAGTCATTGACCAAGGTGATGACACAAGTTCTGTATTCTGCCCCGTGGGTACCATTAGGTTACCGCCTACTGCCCCTCTGGGATAGATTAAACAGAGAACAAATATCACCGGCCAAGCGACAAAAAAGCACCTTTACCTTAGTTGGCATTTTAATCAATTTGGAGATCCTCAAAAGGCCGAGAATTATTGACACAAAGTCGCTAAAGGCTTTTTCTCAGGGTACAGTCTTGGTCTAAGGTTATATCAGGACCACCAAGACTCTTAAAGACTTGGACCATAATCGTTTTATTTAAATATCTGCAATGTCAAACACCCCAGTTCATAATACGTGTATGTGGAATGTATCTAAGTATATGTGTGACGCTCTTTGAGAAGGCACCGTTTTATGTAGATACACTGATAGTGCACTCCATATACCATTTTAATCGTACTGGATTTTTCATCTGTTGGATCATGATGTGTATGTATTGATATAATTTTTTTTGTTAAGTGTGATCAATTCCTTTGTCATAATTCTAAGATTCCTGCTTTTCCAATTTGAAGTGAAACAACAGATTTTAAACTCTGGAGTTATTGAGGGGTGGCACAGCTCTTTATTAATTATGCTTAAATCACTGTTTGTCATGAGTGCTGGTGATGACGGCAGGTGGACTGGGCACAGGTGGCGTAAATAATTGTGAAGTACAGAGGATCCACTCATAATTATTTCGACTCAATATATATAATCAAGCAGTGCAGATGCACATGACTGACCTTTTCTTCTCACCAGGGGACCAGGCTGAATGGTGCGTATGCTTGTGTACGCTATAAAGAAGGGTGCAATGATTATCACTGCCCATCACCCTGGTGATTCGTATTGGCAGCGCTTCAGACGACCTGATATCACACAAGCAAATGGCTGAAATCTAACTTATTACTAGCCGTGTTAACTCAGCAGAAGCCCCCCTACACCCTCCCCGGGTAAGGTCTCTGCATGGCCTTTCGGTGGCCCTGCCTTCCGTACTATCTTGTTATCTCAGCAAGTGTTTCCTGTGAGCACCTCGCTCTTCTCTAGGGCATGCTGTGGAGCTTGTGCCGAGTTGCGTCCACAGGGTATTGTTCTCCCACAGTTTGGGAGTCGTAAATTAGCTGGAAACGATTTGTCAAACACGAGGGCCGGGAAAGGGTGAAAAACAACAACAAAATCAGGGGCCTGATGTGGCCCCTGCACTGAACCATACATGGCACAGATATGGCGATGGTTGCTCAAATTACGGCCACTCGGTCTTCTCAAAGAACTATTCTCCAGAACACTCAAGTATGAGCAAAATGAATGAACTTTATGAGATATTTCCCATGCACCAAACACTCCTACTACACTACTACTTCAAGGCATCGCTATATTTATTTGACAAACACTCTATTTGGCACATCTGAAGATAAAGTTGAGTTTAAGATGGATGAATGTAACAAAATGTTGCAACTACTACTGACGGTGTCAATCAGAACTGAGCATCATCAGAAATGTTATATTAGATGTAATTGTGTTTTGTCCATGTGGTCGATCAATAGGCTCCTTAGATCTATACATCTAATTAATGCATATGTGAAACAAGCCCTTCCATGTTGAGAAACCATAACCTCCTGTGTTTATTTGAGATTTCAGGAGGGACCACCCTGTGTTTACCCCAGATCCGGATTCCTAATAACCTTCAACATGACACTCTTTAATGAGGGAATTCCTGCGCATTAGAGGATGTCTCACACACATCCTGGCTTTTAATCAACACTCGTGTTCTCACCTCCTTGCGTCAAGGTCCCATAGTACTGTAACGACCTATTTTAGGGAGCAGTGTCACATCCTACCACTCTGAAGGAGTGAACAATTCAAGTTAAACCTGTCTCGGTTTTGGCTGAAGCACAGCAGTTAAATGTAATCTCCAAAGATTAACAGCCTATTTAGAACCCAACATTGAAAGAAAAGTGTGTGCAACTGCTGGTCGCTCGTCATGCGTCAATTTCAGGATACACGACTACAAACAATGCTATTGCTGTGCCTTAGCGCTGGACAATGCAGAATTATACTGCACAGGCTCCACTTTGCTGCAGTGGTCCCTTTTTTTTCTGCCCTCCGTCACCTCTCGAATACAATTTGTATCCAAAATGCTGCTGCCATGGTGTCCAAGATTTAATGCAACACCTGATGTGGAAATAGTTCCCTTCATGCCACAGTCTCCCCATTTTCTTGATGCTATCAGCCTCCTTTTCAATAAAACATTTCTCCAAAACCCTGCTGCCATGTTAACAAACAGATAAAATAACAGTTGCAAACTGTAGTGGTATAATGTATGTTGCACAATCTCCATTTTGTTGCTTTTTTGTTTTTATTTTTTTGTTTTGTTTTTGGCCGCCCTCAGTCTTTTGAACTAAAATTCTTCTCCAAAATGCTGTTGCCAAGTTAACGACCACAACATCAGTTCATAACTGATGAATAAAATACTTCTCCAAAATGCTTTTTCTCCATGATAACAAGCAGCTAAAACAATAGATGACAACTGTCTTGGAATTAGCTCCTTATATCCAGTCGGCGCTTTGTAGCAGCGGTCCGTTTTCTTGCTGCCCTCAATCTTTTCATGAATCATGAAATACTGCGTCCAAAAGCTACACTCCAATAAGTAAATACAAGAGACTTCCTTCAATGTCGTTGTTTCTGTCTCTGATACATTAAAAGAAGCTCGGTTAACTTAGTCTCCCGTGGTACTCTTTTGACGCCCCTCAAGTTGACGTCAGTTGAGCTCAGTTGAGCCGGTCCTGTGCAGTGGAAAAGAAACATCATGAAGTTCAACACAGAGAATGTTAAAATGACTGATTTCGATTCTAATTGTGTTTTATGAGAAAATTGTTTGGAAATTAGAGCAGTGTCAAGCATTGCAGACTGACTTTGAAAGCATGCTTTTTTTTTTTTTTTTTGGCCTCTGTTAGGTTACTGTCAAGTCAAGTTTCTGTCCTATTCCCTCAGGGGCTCTCCGACTGTCATGACCAATGTTCCCATGGTTGGAAGTGACATCAGGGGACGCTGAGATTGACAGGGATGGTGAATTAAAGTTCTCTCTCGAGTCAAGATAGAGGCTAAAGGAGCAAAAATCAAAACGTGCAGTAAAGTTTGCCAACAATAGCAGTGTACTCTTTGCGGTGATATGAAAACCCCCAGGCCAACTCCTGCTATTCACAGACGGGACTATCTGCACTCACACAAGCACGTCAAAGGGGGCCGCACCAAGATGAACTATGCTGGGAACCTGTCACATGAAAGTGATAAAAAAGAAAATCCACTTAAGTAACATTTAACAAAATTTCTTCGATAAGAAAAAAACGGCCCTGACAGTCATCATGGGCAATGAACAATCATTCAATATGAAAACGACTTTTTGCACAGTAAAATATCTGTGTACGGTATTTTATTTTTTTCAAAAGGAAGTTCCTTCCTTATAGCAGAGCGGATTGTTCTCCAGCTTTGTTTATGTAAAGCTTTGTTTATGCTTAAAATTATATTTCACTCTGTGACAGGAGCACAACCAGTTTAGTCCAGGAACAAATACAACAGTTGGAGTGAGTGTGAATTTATTTTTGCTCCGCATCTATTGTTTTCCATTAAAACCTCAACACAACACGGTTTCTAAATTTCATCCGCTTTAGCGCAAACAGGACTCTCGTAACAAAAGGTATTTTAAATTCAAACTACAAGTTTTACCCTTCGTTGTGGGTCACGTGATCATCCAACCACAAGAGCTCCTGAGTGAGTTGTGGTAGGACAACTCATAGCTGATTCACCAGGAAAAATCGCCTGTTGCAAATGCCCTGAACATCCAACAGTTCGTCACCTTACCTGCGGCTCTGTATGATTTGTTTGCTCTTTCCCAAGCTCACGGGCGTAATCAAAGGGGCCCCGTTAAAGGAACACATCATGATGGCCGTGATGCTCGAGCTCGAATCTTTTCAGGAGTGTGTGAACGCGTGGCATGGAAGGCTAAAAAAAAATGTGTTAGGCTCCAGGGAATTCATTCGAAGAGTCAAATTTGCAGGTTGTCATATGGATGTGCAGTAGCAGTATGTGACGGAAGTCCTGGAGCATTTCTGACACACCTCATGGAAAAAGCACAGATGCTTATAAGAAAGTCAACTACAGCCACTCGGCAACGGACTCGAAAATAGATGCTAGTCATTTAGCCGCATGAGAAATTGTGTCCAAACCTTTGATTTGTACTGTACTTGCAGGCACAAACGTGCACAAGTCGGGAAAACAAAAACACTAATAAGTCTGGCTTTTGGTTTTTCTTTCTCCACTCTACACAATACACCATTTGACTGAAAGGACTGTCAAAACAACATTTAATTTAATGACGAGACAGCAGTCACGAGAGAACAAGATAATCATCTGGGCTACATTGAAGTTGGTTCCTGTTTGTCCTTTGGGAGACTGACTCTTTATTCAACACTGTGACTACTACTACTGCTGCTAAACCCATCACGGCCTGAATGAGAAACTTAGTAGACAACATGGCTGCCGCCGCAAACAATAATGACTCTCATCTGGGTGGGAGGGGGGCGCGGGCTCCTGTAGGAGAGCCACCTTTTGTTTGTTGTTTGCTGAGTAAGCTACTATTACTGACATTCATCCATCCATCCACCCATCAGTCTATCCAGCCGTCCGCCCACCGGCTAGGCAAACAAGCATCCGTAGCACAATGGGACCTCCCAAATGGTGAGTTTGAAAGCTGTGTCAGTTTCCTTAACTACACCCAATTCCCACTCTCTCCTAAAGTGTGGGTGTCTTCTTTGGGTGTAACTCATCAAATTCAATGAGTTGTTGCACAATATGCATTGTCCTAGGGGCATGGAGTACTGGACAATACATTTTGTGTGTGTGTGTGTGTGTGTGTGTGTGTGTGTGTGTGTGTGTGTGTGTGTGTGTATATATACACACATTTTTACAGTGCATGGAAAACTGTATACAAAAAAAAAAACAGTCAGTCAGAGTGTTGTCACAAAGTAAGTCAAGCCCATTATTTTCAAAACACTAAAAATTACAGAGTGAAGTTTCCCTTTGAGGAGTTACCAATGTAATCCAAATCGAATCCACAGGTGCAATTGCCAGGTATTTGGTGGCTTGAAGCATCAAAGAATGGTTTTGAAGATTGGCACACGGGTCTATTATTCTGATGTGACTCAGTACATAGTGGCCAATAACATGACTGGCTCACGCTGAACATTTGGGGGATGATTCAGCCCCTCTAAAACAGGCCTAACAATGCCATTGCCACTTAGTGAACATTTTCAATTGTCACGAAACATTGACATTGAACCTGGAAGCCATTTATAAGGCGGCACCCTCCTAATGACGGAAAAGTGCTCACCGCTTGATGTCAACTCTGCAAAAATGTTTCCTTTTAGGGCACTTGAAGCTCTCCAACACCCACATCATAAAACGTAATCACAAGGTCTCAAATCACCGAGCGGATGTTATCTTTATTTACACAAAACGATTTTTTTAAACTAAGAAAGAATGTAAATCACAAAGAAACAGCTGTAAATTCTCGAAGTGGAAGTCAACTTCAGACAGAAAATTTTTGGCCACTTTGGACCGGATAATTACTTTTCTTTGATGACTATGTGAATCATCATTCTAAAATGGTCTCTAGTTTGTGCACTTAAAACCAAACAGAAACAAAAACCTTTCAAGGCCTTCTGTATTTAAGAATCACAAGCTCTCCACCAGTAGCTCCCGACTTTCATTGAGCCAAGGCACCTGTTTTACATTAAGACGAAAACATTTCACAGAACATCACCAAAGGGAAAAAAACGAATGGAAAAGCATTTCATTGTTCTTCCTTTCACGATAGGTTGCTGGCAACAATAGGTGACCAAAGATACGATTGTAACGAATAAATGGTAATTTTCAGACAAATTACGAAAAAGTGGATGAGCCTTTTGTGACCCTTATGAGGATAAGCGGATCAGAAAATGGATGGATGGGTGGATGGATGGATAAGTTCCTATGGCACCCCAGATGTGCTTTCACACAGCGGTAAGGTGCCACAGCACCCTTGTTGGGAATCGCTGCTCTCTGCAAGGGCAATTATCACCATGCATGTTTGCGGCTGGTCGATGGTACTCAAGAACAATGTTAAGCATGCGTCTGATTAGAAAAGTGGCAGACTAATTACGGAAGGACAAAAGCCAAACAGGAATGCCTGTTGGGAATCGTCATGCATTGTGGAAGATTCATAATCTCATTAATAGTTCTTACAAGAGACACAATCAGATTAGCCAAATCAATTTAAAAAATCAGCAGTAAAAAACAAAAAATATCAAATGATTCTCTGAATTAATTCATTCAAGCTTCCACAAGTGCCTGAAAAGGAGTTGGAACAAAAATCACCAGCTGTGTCCCACTACCCCATTTTTGCATCAGTACTGTTCCAAAAAACTTCTTGGGCCCTTCTCATTCCAAGTTAATGATACAGGTGACAAAATGGTAACGAAAAAGAAAAGTCAACGATACCAGTAGACAATGTACAAACAGGTAAGGGAGTATGTACCACTGCAAAAACAAAATTTAAATTCTATTTAATTTGAAGCATACTGCTGTTTTGGAAGAATTGATTTGGTGTTTCGGCTTTCTTTTTAAAATGTTGTACATTGAACTATATAGCTTATCATGGCATGCGGAGGATTGTTTTTTGTGTGTGTTTTATGTCAAGTTAAGTCCAATTTATTTGTTCAGCCCTTAATCACAAAATAGGCTCAAAGGGTTTGTTGACAAATATTAACATGCTCCCTATATCCTGCAATTTTGCTGCATACGGAATTTGGGGGATCTCATATGGTGGTTAAATAATGCAATGGTTGTCAAAAATAGCGAGCACCAGCATCACCAGCAGCAGCATCAAAACACTTTTGGTCCCATTCGAGCACGGCCATTGTCCACCGGCGGTAATTGTCCATTTTGCTTTCCCCATTACAGCACAAAGAGAGGGGAGGTAAAAACAGTTTGCCCACAAATCTCCCTCTGTGTGCCAACTGGTTTACTCCACTTATTCAGGCCGAGAAGCAAAGACCATCTGCTCATTTCAACTCCCGCCTCAAAACACTCGATAATGCGCATTCACTGTTCGCATTTGTCGTTTGCCAGCACACGATTTGACCAAACACTTAGTAAAACTCCCTCCAAAACAGATCCAAAGCTAGCTTGACCGAGCCATGAATGCGGCCGCTTTGAATGCGTGAGTCCTTGCTTGGTCTCCTCCTGGCGCGACTTGAATGGCATCCACCAAAGGAGAACCGGACAAAGCCGGAGTTGAGGTAAAAGCCAAGATACAGTCAGTTTACAGGCTACAATGGTGAAAATAAAATGATTTGGCAGTACATAAAAACGCTTTGTTGATAAATTGTTTTCATTTCTTCATCAATTGGAGGATGTCGTATTGAGATATTTTAGGTCTTTACTTATTGCTTGGCCAAAGATCTAAAGACCCGCAATGTCGTTTGGCATGTTTTGGTATGACACTTTGATCCACTTAGCAGCTCGCAGCGCAGGGCCAAACAAACACGCTTTTGTATGAATATTCACATACAGCTGTCTGGGGCAAGACAATAGCAGCTGGTGCGTTTGAGACCCACAAACAGACCTAAGCCGTGCCTGGATAGGACACGGGCGGCTACATCTGGGCCAGATTCACCCCGCCGAATCCCACCACCACGTCTGTGTGAAGCCACTTTTACGAAAGAAGATAGCAGTCCGGGTCCCAGATTAGTTTTTATTGAGCAGTTATTGATAGAGATTTAAATTTTCAACCCTAGGAAATTCACGAGTGGGTTTTTTTCATTATTATTTACAATATATCATAAGATAACTTACGTTCTCGAAAATTGGAGCTTTTTCTGACATACCAAAAACTAAGGATTGTAGGTTAATTTAAGAGTGCAAATTGTTTACGAATATTATATGAATGTGAGTGTGACTGATTGTCTATTTGCGCCCTGCAATTGACTGGTTACCTCTCAAATCTCACCTGCAATCCTAGTGAGAATAAGAGCAATAGAGAATGGGTAGGTGTTTTTTTTTTTTTTGGGTGCCCCATTGTTTTCTTCTTTTGTTGAATTGTAGAAACATGACAAACACGGCTCAAGGCTCAAATATTTTGCCCTTCTGTCATGTTGATCATAAAGGTGCTTTCAATTACATTTAACGACAATCTCACATTCAGGCTGTATTATTTCAACAAAACAAAAATACCATTTGGTCAGGTTTCTTCATTATGGTTAAATATAATCAGCTTAAAATGGCATTTCCCCTCTCTATTGAATGTAATTTTTTAATGAGCAAATTTAATCTCATCCTAATCCAATGGCCTCGCCATAGCAAGTATGGCGAGCGGGTTGGAATACAAAAACGGCTCTTGTGAGAGTTTGGTGTGCAACGGTATCGATGCCCCCTACCCTTCATGGGTTGTTGGTTGGCCTTGACAACACCCCTCAACACGGTGCCAGGCTGTCAGGGTGCCAAGGTCGGGCAGCAGCTGCCGGCCTAAACCAGCGGGCACTGATTGCGGCAACGGCAGGGAGCCCCATGCTGCCCTGGTCCTCCCACTGCCTCCTTGAGGCTGCGACC